ATATAATTCTCCATATGAATGTCTCGCGACTCCATAAGGTTATCATTGACATGTTTTAGTAAGATTTGATGGTTTTGGGTCTTGAGGATTTTTGGAGAAGACGAAGATTTTTTTTTCATGAAGAATTTGTGTGAAATGGGTTTGTGAGGAAGATGAAATGGGTTTTGCTTGTGTGGTCTTGCACAAAGGAAGTTGTGGAATTTTGTAATTGTGGATTTTATATTTTAGTAAGGGTATATTAGTCTTTTAGTAATTCATTTTGTGAAAAAATTAGATTTGATCTTCCCCTAAGTAATTTTGGGATTGCATATAGTCGCTGCCATTTTAAATTCACATCTAAACAAAATTTGTTTGAAGAATTGAAAGCTAAATAAAATTATTATCATACACGAAATAAACAAAAGAATTTAAAAATTGCACGATTCATCTACACGAAAGAGGGTACCGGCAGGTTGCAGGGGCGGCGGTGGCTGGCGGCGGCCGGCGGTGGCTGGTGATTTGCGGCGGTGGCTTGCGGCTGGAGGATTGGGCGGCGGTGTCTTGGTGCGGGAATAATGAAGCAGAAGAGGTACAAACTTGTCTTACAAGTCTGTTGACGTTTAACATCTTTTTTAATTCAATTTTTTTTTTAACCTAATAATCAAAACGACATCGTTTTAATAAAGTATTAAAAAAATATATATAAAACACAGCATTTGGGAGTAGTACCCGGGTCAGCGGCCGGTCCTGGGTTTCACCCGGTCAGACCGGGTTTCTGGTAGTTGACCCCGGTTTTGAATTTATCCAGGTTTGGGGGTCAGACCGGCCGGTCCGGTCCGGTTCTGATAACATTGCCTTTCCCGGTTCCCTGACTGCATAATTTAAAAAAAAAAAAAAAAAAAAAGAGGACTTAGAGAATAATTGTTAACTCATAAAAAAACTCATAGCTAGAAATACGCTTCTTACCGAAGTAGAAGCTAAGATATCTAATGCTTCACTAAGTTCCCGAAGTTTTGCTTGTTTAGTGAGGGCTTTTGCTTTGGCTCGTTTTGTTTTTCTTAAACTGGGAACAAGAATTTCCAGCCCATCAAATTCATCACCATTTGGGTCAGTGGATTCTTGTTCTTGTTTCACCGCCAATTCGTCTTCCTCCGATTCCTTTTCCAATTTCAAAAGAAGAATAAATATCATCAAATAGTTAGTACAGTTAAAACATCATGACATTGTCTAATTATCGAAATTATTATTGTTATTATTATTATTATTATTGGTATTATTATTATTATTATTATTATTATTATTATTATTATTATTATTATCATCATTATTATTATTATTATTATTATTATTATTATTATTATTAT